AGATAGGCCTCAGTGCCTCAACTCCAAACTACGATGGTCTGTCACACTGCATTTACTTCAATGTCTGGCAATGTTTCCTAAATTCCAGGGCAATAGCCAATGGTCTAGATTCTGGTCCAGTCAATGCACACACACACACACACACACACACACACACAGAGAGAGAGAGAGAGAGAGAGAGAGACAGACAGACAGACAGACAGACAGAGACAGAGACAGAGACACAGAGAGACAAAGACAGAGACAGATAGACAAAGAATTTCCTTGTGCAGAACAAACAGTAACAAGGGGCATCAATTTGACAGCAGTTGGCAAATACCTTAAAGTCTGGGTCACCCATGTCTCTATTCATACTAGGGACAGTACATCTAAGGCACTATGTTAGGATAGAATGAGTTTGTATTACAAAGGAATTTTATTGTTTTGACTTAAAGGATATAAGCTAGATAATCCAACAGTGACTTTCTTCATATTCCAGAGGCTGAGGACCCAGTCACTGCTCAGTCCCAAAGGCTGGATGTCTCAGCAGGCATAATCTGGCACTGAAGGCCTGGAGGATTCCTGGAGAGCCACTGGTCTTCAGTCTACAGTGACAGGGCAAAGAAGCTTAGCTCCAAAGTGAAAAAAGGATGGCAAAAGCAGTAGCCTCAGAGTAGATGCACTCACCCACAGAATGAAGGCCAGACAGGCAAAAGTTCTTGCCTTTCAATTCATCCTCCCAGAGACAGAGAGACACAGACAGACATAATATATTTTAATTTAGTGGTTTTATCAATTTTTTGAAATTTTCATAGAATGTAATTTGATCATATTCACTGCCCATTCCCTGCTTAGCTCCTCCCAGATCCATCCCTACCTTCTTACCCACACTCAACTTTGAATCTTTTTTTAAATCTCATTAAGACCAATATGTGCTATGCATAGACTCTTGGGTATGAGGTATCCTCTGGACCAGTCAACCAATCAGGGGTCAAACTCTTGAATTAAACAGACTCTCCTTCCACCAGAAGCCATAAACTGCCCACAGGTCTTTCATCAGGGGCTGAAGCTTCTGAATACCTTTCCTCCCTATGCTGAAATGTTGACTGGCTTGATCCTGTGCAACCCTTCTGCAGACAGCCCCAGTTCTGTGAGTTCATGGGTGCAGTGGCCTGCCATTTCCCGATGGCACTGTTTTGCTATGAGATTCTGACCTCTAATCTTACAGTCTTTCCACTCCTCTTCTATGATGGCCCCTGAGCCTTGAGGGGGTGACATAGGTGTCTCATTCTTATTTGTAGCTAGGCACTCTTCTGATACTCTTGACCAGTTGTGAGTTTCTGAAGTAACCACTGTCCACTGCACAACAAAACTTCTATGATGAGGTCTAAGAGCTGCACTAATCTATTGGGAAAGATATGAATTTAGAGTGTTGCTTGATACTTTTTTCATTATCAGAATCATAGTTACAGGCTGCCTTCTGGGGTCTATGAATATCTCAAACATGGGTTCTTGGCCAGATTTACAATACTAGGCATGCTTCCTGTGCAGTGGAGCAGTGGACCTTAAAATCGATCAGAGAGTACTTAGACACACACACACACACACACACACACACACACACACACACACACACACACTATAACATTCACGCCACTGTTGTACCCAGGGGCCTATCTTGCTACACCAGTCACTATTGTAGTTCACAGAGTCTATGGTTCTGTAAAACTGTTGATGGCTTTTCTCATAGCAGCTTATACAGGACCTACTAATACTATAAAAATTATTTGTCAGTGAGGAAGCTCCAGGATATATTCTTACACACAGCCCCCATAGACATGTGTTATTTGATTCCATATCTAATCAAGTTGACACCTACTCAAGATTAACCATCACAAGGGTACACCAATTATCAAGCTAATCCAGTAATAAACTATAAACTAGACTGCACCCACTTGTTAATGGACTCATCTGAGCCCCCAATTTTCTTACTATTCATCTTGTAAGGGATGGATGCTTAATCTGAGTTCCCTGCTTAATTCCATCTAAGAAACTGAAATTACTGTTCCACAGAAATTTCCACAAAACATAGACTATCAAGGAGGAAAAAAACCAAATCCATTGAAAAATAATGATAAAAACCTAGTGTGGTGGCTCATGAACCATCAATGAAAAAATTAAAAAAGAGGATTTTTGTGAGTTTGAGTCCACTTAGGCTACACAGAAAGACCAAGTTTCAAAAACAAAACAACAATCAATATTCTTTCCTACTGTAAGACTAGGCAACCTTTCTTTGGTGACAATTCCTATCAGAAGGAAATATGCCAAACAATAAAATGTTGTATGAGGTAGACAGAGGGCACCAAGCAAACCTTGATTCTAATATTAGTTTCATTATTTTCATTGTTATATGATTTAAAAGGCTCAAAAATTTCAAAATGTGCTTGTTTCAACAAGACATAGCAAATCCTGTGGCCTCTTCATTTACCTCTTGCAAGCCCTGAAACCAAAATGTCTTCAAGACTTGCCTATCACTACTAACCAAGACCTGAGATAAAGGCCCAAGTGACTGATGGAATGAAGTCACCTGTAGGCTTGTATAAGAGTTCCAACTTCATCCAGTGATATTTTAACAGGCAAACTTCCTAACATCCTACTGATCATACACACACACACACACACACACACACACACACACACACACACACACACTACACATACATTATAAATCACACTGTGTGATCTAAAATCTTGAGTAACCTAACCTCCCCTCACTCATCCACAAAGGACCTTGCATTGTTGAGAACATTTAGATTCACCTACTCTTGATGGAGACTAAAATTATATCAGTCAGACTCCAGCATTTGGTCCACTTACAGATGTAACAACCCACAAGTCTACAACTGAAAGGATAAATCTAATTTCTAGAACCCAATACTACATTTGGATTCTACAAATGGCTCTACCTCTACATGATGGCTGATGCAACAATGTAAGCCACAAAATTACATCATGCATGGTTTATATGTGGGAAGACATCCCTAGTACCACACCATCCAGGCCAAAGACTTACCTTTAGAGGTGAATTTGTCTTATCTCCAACTACCAGGAATATGAACTACTCCAGACTTTGGGAAGCCTCACTGCACAGGAAAACCTAAACTGTCAGTGACCCATTAGATCACTGAGTCCTGTTTTATTTAAAAGGTAGGACTCACAATACAGGGTAACTTTCCAGATGTTGCAGTTTGTGTGCCCATCAAATTAACTCTGTCCTATGATCACGTGTACTTCTAAGTTCTTTTCTCTGTGACCACAATTTGGCTGTATTCCATGGTAAGGTTAAGCCTCCATGGGACCACATCTAATGTTTCTATAACTCTTCTAAGATGCAGATTCCTGCTGCTATCACCTCCTGCTTCTACCTAAAGGATATGCATACCAAAGGCTGCAGACTGTGTGCTCCCCTGGGGCCACCGAGCTATTCTACTGGCCTTTAACTATTCAAGTCATTTAGTCCCCTTTATCCTTCCCTGACTCCCTCACTGTTATGTCTCCTACCCCTACCCAACTCTCTCTTAAAAGCACCTTGACCTCTTGTATTCTAAAAAACTACACAGACAGTAAAATCCAAACTTATTGTCATACACCTTGGATATTTAAACAGATATCCAAAATATACACACATCTGACTGAAGTTATTTCCTATAAAGTGGTTAGATATGCTATCATCCTGTGGCTGATACCACACAGCAACCAAGCTGGTAATTACCCTACAGACACAATATATGGAGAAATGAGAACTTCTTTCAAACCACCACCTCCCTGTATCTGGGGTGCCCCCTCATGACAAGTGGTCCTTATGTTTCCTCCAACAGGCATGTCTGTGCTCTCTTAGGACTCGCAGAAACTTTGAGCTCCTCCATTTCCATCCTTCATGCCCATTTTTTTATAAAATGTGGTACAATCATCCAACCTAAAGATGATAGCACACTATACTGTGGCGCCACAGCAAAGCTGCACATTACCCTACTTTGTCCTTCCAGTGCCCAAAAGCCATGTGGAAGCACTCTAGTGTCTCCTGCCTTCCCACATATATAATACCAATCATTCCTCCCCAGCCTGGTCAGATGTCACCACTGTCCTATACCTCTGACAGTGTTCCTCATTGTTGTCTGGGGAGTGGCCAGAATGGCCACAGGAACCATTGCTATAAACCCAGGGTTGAAAGCCATCAGTGATAACCCACAAGTTCCCCAAATTCCACTATCTCATGTTTCTGAAGTACAGCATACACTAGACCTGCTTTGTGAAGATCAGAGAACTCAGCAAATACAGAGTTGACAATAAACTTGTCATCAAATCTCTATTGGCTAGTTCAGCTGGTATATGGAACATTAATTGTTCTTGTTTATGAATTAACACAACCAACTGAGGGTCCATTCCAACAAAGCTTGGACCAAACTAGCATCTTTAGCATACTCTGTAATTCTAAGCAGAAACCTGCAATTTAGGCAAAATGATGGTGAAGTCTCACTTGACTTACTTGCCTTCCCAATACCAAGCAAATACTAAATCCAACTGCCAGTCAAGCTTCAGTCACTTCCTGTTCCTATTTGGTCATTTCTTTTACTCCCATCTTAGAATGCTTTCTGTCTTCATCTATCCAATCCTTAGAAAAGTGACTGTCTTTCCTCCATGCTAAAAATTATTTCCCAATTCTCTAGGAGTCCCTTCCACTCAAGCCACTCAACTATCTCCCAAGTAATTGAATTTGAAACTGATATCAAGATATCCAGGACCATAATAGTCACATAAGGCTGTGCATGTTTTTTTTTTTCCACTGTACTATCTTGTAGTGGTTTTGAGACCCTGGCCGTGGCTGGCCCTTTCCCTTTCTTGAAGAGTTGATTAAGTCCACACCCCAACTGCTTCTCTTATCAGGGTCTCATGTTCTGGGGCCCATTGTGGATCTATACTAATCATTGTGAGGTCAGGCAACAGACAGCTTGGGACAGGACCTGGGCCCCACAGCCCAGCAGGATTATTCAAATCAGCCAACATGGGCCCCTAGCTAACCCCACCCTGCATACTATATATAAGATGTCACCTACTCCTCCACATTGCTGTACCCATCCTCAGGAGGGATCCATTGTGTGACCTGACCATCCTTCTCTGGAGCTGTAAGTAACACAGGGTTCTGTCTTTTATCTAGACAGATATTCTTATGAACCTATCCATCAAAAAGATCTTATAAACAGAGTCCTACCTATTTCTCAATGTACTAAAGTTATAATGATTAAACTCAAATTTTCCAAAGCTTTATGTTTAACAAGTAATTCTTTACAAATTTTGAAATTTGGGGGAGGGATATGATGGATTAGTTACACCTATTCTTTGGTTAATTCAACATTCATTCCCCTAACTTATGTTACTAACAGACTTGATTAAGTTTCTTTAAATACTATAAGTTACATAAACTACTAACTTAGTCTACCATAATCTCTCAAGCCTCCCAAATGTTTTTCAAGTTAGTCTTTCACAAACTTGAAGTTGGCAAAGGATTGTAATAATTAAGGCAAAGTTGGTAAAATAGACTAATTTCAGTATGCTGTGGCACTTCTATGATCCCAGCATTCAGGAGGCTGAGGCAGGAGTTCAAGTTCAAAGCTAGCCTAGAATACATAGCAAGGCCTTGTCTCAAAAAGTCAAAAGAAAACAAGATCAATATGTTCATTATCCTGGTTTCTCATTCCATCTAACACTGTGTAGAGACCAAAACAAAAACAAAAACAACAAAAAAAGATGTATTGTTTCTTAAAAACTAAAATCATATAGTTCATGCATCTAATTTTCTTTTCAAATTACTTTGTTTGTTTGTTTGGTTGGTTGGTTGGTTTGGTTTGGTTTGGTTTTTCGAGACAGGGTTTCTCCGTGGAGTTTTGGTGCCTGTCCTGGATCTCGCTCTGTAGACCAGGCTGGCCTCAAACTCACAGAGATCCGCCTGGCTCTTCCTCCAAGTGCTGGGATTAAAGGTATGTGCCACAGCTGCCTGGCTTCAAATTACTTTTATTTGTATAATATGTATATGAGGAGTGGAGCATGCCATGGCACACATGTGGAGGTCAGAGGACAACTTACATGTGTTCTGCCATGAGGGTCCTCCCATGGATCAAATTCAGGTGGTAGGGCTTGGTGAGCCATCTCACTGGCTGTCAGTCATCTAATTTTCTAACATGTTAGGTTCTGTTGTGCATTTCCAGGCTTTTAGAAACCTTAATGACTTACTTCAATGATTCTAAACATTAAATTCTTGAACTTAACACAAACACAAACTCTATAGGTTTAACATTGTGTCTCAGAATAACTTCAGCATTCTGCCCAAGTCTGTTGCTTTTTTTGGCACTCTATTGTTCCACCTTAGGCAATCATGAAGCATGAGGTAAGGTAAGGAGAATCAGTAACTAGATAGAAAGGAACACAGGCAGCTGTGCCGAGGAGGCTGGAGAGCAAAGGGCTCATCTAGCTCACTCTGGCCTTCTTCTAGGATAGCAAAGTCACTTACTCAAACAAAGGGAAGGGTCTTATGACCCTACAGTTGAGGTTACTGTACTGAGAATCATGGCCAAGGGTGAAGCATCAATAAAACGTCTTAGAGGGAATTGAGACCTAATAAAGACCATGGATATCCAGGGTGGCTAGCCTGAGACAAAGGGTAGCATGTGGCATACTGTCCTCAAGTAAGGACTTTCTACATCTTGTAGACCTTTACCCTATTTTTAAGTCACACTCCTATGTGATGGATGAGAAGCTGTTTACATGCTAATGTTCTTTAAATTTAACTGATTTCTTTTTTATTATTGGACCCTGTAAGCTTTTTATATCTTTCAAACTGGTATAACAATCATATTATTTTATTGATCATTTCCTGTATAATAAGCACTATCTTTTGAATGTTTTGTTTTACAGCATTATGTAAATGTACATCAAGTTCACTGCTCTGCAGCTAACTGCCTGCTACCATCCTGTTTTGAAATTTGGTTTGGCATGTACCTGCAGAATAGCCCTGCCAAGTCTCCACAGGGCCTCAGAACCAGTCTGAGGTCCTCCATCTTGCCTGAGCATTCTTCCTGCTCTCTCAGAGAGAGACCATTGGGCTCATTTAGAGCATGTAAGATTTCCACAGAAATGCCTTGACCTTTTTTTAAAATTTGTTTTAGATTTATTTATTTTATATATGTGAGGGTTTTGCCTACATGTTGGATGTCTGCCTGATGCTTGTGGAGGGCCTCAGATCACCTGGAACTGAATTATGGACAGCTGTGAGCCAACTTGTGGGTGCTAGGAATCAAACTTGGGTCCCCTGCAAAAACAAGTGCTATTAACCATTGAGCCATCTCACTAACACCCTGTTTTGTTTTCAGATCCATTGTTGCCAATGCTCATTTTAATTTTTCTATTTGCTCAAAATATTTATTGTAATTATTCTCTTCAGAAGAAAAAAGTTAGGAAAGGGGAAAGGAAAAAGAAAAAAAGAAGAGAGAAAGTAAAGGAGAGAGGACAGAAAAAGGAAAGGACAGAGGGAGGGAGGGAGGGAGGGAGGGAGGGAGGGAGGGAGGGAGGGAGGGAGGGAGGGAAAAATAAATGGTTTGTGTCAGCACCGGTCAGTGTAGGCAGGTGGACCACTCACAGAATTACCCATGCTGGGAGGCAGAGGAGGCTGCTACACTATTTTATATCCTTGCTAGAATGAACAGGTTTTTCTATTCTTCCATATCTTAGACAAAGCCTATTTTGTTTGTTGGTTGGTTTAATAACTATCTAGTTGTTGGCAGAAGTATTTTTAGAGATAACCACCCAAAACAATCCTGTGCATTAAACGGATTCAGGTGTGCATTGAAGTTCTACTATGGTAAAAAAATGATCACTCAGCTCTGTTTCCTGTATTCTTTTTCTCTCTTGTAAAACAAGGAGACTGGCAGATATGTCTCCAAGATCCTCTTGAAGGCCTTTTGAAAGAATGCTTGTAAAGCTGTTAGTCTACACTTAGAAAAGCACACCATTAATTTTTACTTGTTTTCACAGCTCTCTCCTTCTCCCTCTCCTCTCCCTCTCCCTCTCCCTCTCCCTCTCCCTCTCCCTCTCCCT